CATAAATAATCATTTTAATTAATGAAATTAATAATATTGGTAGGAATTTTCAAAGAAATTTATACATTTTATAGTTTATTATTATTAATATTTTTATTTTTTCTGGAAGTATACTCGTAACTTTTATTAATTTTATTAGAAGTTTATATAAGCAATCATATTTGTAAATATATAAGTTATTTTTAGCTAATAACCTATTAAAGTGGTTCCCAAGATAATAATGAACAAGGAGATAGATCAGGAAATAGATATATTATTTAAATAACAATTGTTATTGGTGATATTATCCTTCCAATAAAAACAAATTTTGCCAATAGAAAAAGTCCCTTATCGCTATTGGTGGATCAGGAATTACTCGTAAACAAAACCGGAACGCATGTTCTACTCCAATCTGGTCAGTTAACAAAGCATTCAGCAGATTACATACTCTGGTAGCATCTATATTAATAAATTCAATTTACTACTAAAGGATTCATATTTTCCACCTCACTTCTGTATTCAATTCTAAGGTAAGATTAATCTTTGTTAAGTTTTATTAATATAATTTAAAATTATTATAAGCTTTCTGCCTGTTCGACACTCGAAAGATAACTTTATGTATGAGCGACTTTAAATATATATAACTTATTGTATATAAAATTTTAAATCGTTATAAAGTTGTTTTTATATATATATTGATAGCCTTGAATGTTATAACAAGGATTTTAAAATTTCATATCTATACTGCTATTGAATACAGTAAACAAATATTTATATATATTCTTATAAGTAGCTTATTATAATTACAATTCAGTAAAGAATTTAATAAAAATTAAATTAAAACATCAATCCAACTCTTCGTTTCCGTTGAATGAGATAAGTTTACGAATGGTGTAATAAGGTGAAGGTCGCATCCTATTATTGGAACTGATTCATTAGGAGGGCAAATTCGTGTTAGAGGAGCATATAATTATTTTGTATTAATAAAAATAAACAAATAGACTTATCTTTAAATTTATGTAATGGATACTTTAATGTAGTAAATTCAAATTTGAAAATGTATCAGAGTAATGTAAAGATATAATAATTTTATAATGAAAATTATGTACTAAAACAATGAATAGTATACTTGAACAGAGAAACTTTCATTTTCTATATTTAAGTCAACTTAACACAGTGAATATATAGATATTTGATATCATTAATACTACATTATACTGTTATCCTGAATGACATCACAAACAATGGATAAGTTGTATATTAAATAGTAGTTTAACCTGTAAAAGGAAACGGCAACTTGTGTCTCATTATTCTCGTGTGCAATTGTTCGATAATTAATATAAACACCATCATGATGTATAATTTAACAGATAAAAATATTTCGTTAATTCGAGTAAAATAAATTCTTTCATTAAAATTAATTTATATACTGTTATTAATGCTATGCTTTAAAATAATTTTTTTCATAAAAATTGCTTTTCTTACGCTTAATAACTTTTTAAAATTGATAAATAAACACTTTTAAATATTAAAAAATATATACATGTAGATTATTATAAAATGAGGATTTTAATTTGCTATTTATCTATGACTTTTATTATTGATTATTTCGATCCGTCCTTTAAAAGAAAATAGCGACTACAAACCCTAAGTGAATTATTAGAAAAACGATGTCGTATTGTTTATAAGTCAATAAATAATACATTTCTTTTTAAACAACAAAAACTTTTTTCACAATAATTTCCTTATCCCCTTAATTAATAATAAGGTGATTCAGATTATACATCATTTTTATGAAAGATCCATATAAATATAAATATATAGCTTAGTTATAAATAAAGCTCAATAAATTACTTTTATTATCTATAACATTTTTTTTTTTTTTTTTTT